GTCTCAAAGCTATGTAATTTGTATAAAAGGTACATATAATGATGCTTATCATCTCTAGAATTGCAGATACATTACCTGACATATTTACTCCACGTTGAAATGTCAGTTTCTTTTGAAATTACGTATTTTCCACATTTTCATCAATGTTCCCTAATTCACTAATTCTGATAAAATTCTTAACCCAATTGTAACTGACTACAAAACAGGGTAGAAAGAATATTTGCACAACTGAATAATCCCTCTAATGCTGTATCCATTGCATAAAAAATCTCATTTAAGCTGCCCCTCCCTTACCCAATTCCCTGTATTGAATCTTCCTATCAACAAAATCCTTTAAGCCAGATAGCCCATAGGATTTCACTGGACTTCAGTGCAATTTTATCTGACTGAAGACAGCCCTGACAGTTTGAATAAGTCTATTCAGCATCTGGAGCTCTGCAAAAATAGCTGAGCTCAAGGGTACCTTGCCTACCCTGCTCTTGCTGTGCCTGTGTCTCCCCTATGAGGCTCCACTGGACATGCAATTGCTGCAGTGATCCTGTAATACCCCCATAACTTCAAAAATTTATTGGAGAAAAACTCACACAGTGTGAAACTTAATTCACCATAAACGACCAAAGTGGAATCTTTTCTTTGCTCAATATTGTCAAATTGAAATGGCCACAGACCCATAGGCTGTTACACTGGCTCTCACCAGAGAAATGATTTTCAGCCAGAACTGGTTGCATTGGGTGCTTTTTCTTCAGTTTGGGATGATTTTGTTCCTTCAACTGGTGCACAAAGTTTTATAGTCCAACTTTTACTTCTCATGTAGGGAGTTGTCCCAACTTGTTTAACCAAATAAATAATTTCTGATCCTCTCCTACCTCTACATCTTTTTCTAAAAGATTCATACCCCTTATCAAAGTTTCGTTACAACTTATTTAGTGTACAGATGGGAAAAAATAAGCTGAGACTCTCTTCACTGCTGCTTAGTTTCCTTGAACAACATTAACAGTAACAAATAGTGGTGGTACATTTTCGACAGGAGTCTGTGGTGGAAGCAGTTAGAAACTGCTGTGTATTGCAAGCACCAAAAATCTGGGAAGTTTAAAACTGAGAAAACTGAAAGAGGTTAAGGAGTAAATACTCACAAGAAGACCCTCTTAGTGGAGGGAAGTAGCAAGAACAAAGCAAGCTGCTGTAATAACGCTGTGCAAACCCAAAAATAATTTCAGGAGTTCTGGCACAATGGATAGATGAGGGCAAAGGGAAAAAGAGAAAATAAATAATCGTCCTGTGAGAAGTCTCTGTTTATATTCTGAAAAGTCTGGGTGTGGATCATGTAGATTGCTGAAACAAAGCAGGCTCATCTCTGCACTGCACATTGTGCAGGTTAAATAGATGGGGACTTGAAACACATTTGTGCTACTCACATGGGCATAACTCAGAAAGAAAAGCTGGTTGTGTGTGAACTCAAGGCCTGGCAGCAAAGGCTCTTCTTCTCCTCCCCTCTTTTCTGTAATCCATTTCCTGTATGCCTGATAAGAAAGAGATACTAAGTGCCTTTCAGTAACATGAAGATAACCACAGCTTTTTCTTCATACTGCTATGTCTCAGATATTTTTCACCTACTTACCCTGAAAGCTTCTCGCAAGCCTCCATTATCTGCAATGTTTTCTGCCAAAGTCCTCTTCCCTTTCACCTGACAGAATGAAAGAACATCAGTCATTTGAGCCGTTTCTGAACTTCCTTCTTGATCAATTTCAAGAATGGGGAAAAAGTAAAACAAGGAGGGAATGACCTCAGCCAATTTCAAGAATCGTAATTTTGGTTAAGAAAACAGGGTTTCAATGGGAAATCTGTCAGTAAACAATTTTCTGGCTCTCATCCTAGATCTATGTAGCACAAAATATAATAGATAAAATGCTCTCAAGAATCCAGTCCCTGATCTTTGATCTGAGTGTCAGTAATTTTCCCCTGAGGACTGTTTTTATCTGGTTACATGTGAGATCCAGTAGCCCCTTTTTTAAACTTCTCTCTAAAAGGTTATATTTATTTCTCTACATAATTCTTCATATAATACTGGGATACTAAAATAACTTTTAAGTCATAACATAAACAAGCATAATTAAAAATAACTGTCAGAGACAGAATTAAAATTGATAGTATATTCAGTGCTCTAAAAATATCTGCAAAGAAGATTCCTCTTGCTTCTCCCCGGTATTGATTCCAAAAGCAAGAGTAATAGTAACAAGGATATATTGCAAGAAGCAGCACTATATAAACTTTGTGAGAAACACGGTCTCCTGACACTACCAGGTGCAACATCATTATGAAGAAATCCTAATTTCTGCTAGATCAGCATTATCTCTGCTCACCCAACCTACTGAGGTCTTAGTGTTACCAACGGTAATTGTAATTAAGCAGTTTTGCTCTCTATTATGCCTTGAATAAGCAAAATAATTGAGCAGAGTTTTCAGCAGAGCTGTGAAGGTCAATGCTGGCCTGCAGCTATAGGCTTTCCCATGCCACAGGGATCAGTAGAATAGGCTCACCTTAGTTTCAGGATGCTAAAAAAGGCATAAATGGAGCAGAAGAGGTAAAAAGATCAAGGAGATAGCTATGTACTTGTGCCCCACTACTCAGTGCAGATGAGCACCAAGATCGGACTCAGGACAAGTTGCTTGATGCCTTGGGTACAATGTTACACCCAAGGGTGCTATAAAGGAGAAATGGGAGCATTAGAGGAAAGGTCAAGCCTTTCCTGTCAGCTCTCCCCTCCCCTCAGGAGACTGGAGATGGAGGTGAAAGAGAAGCTTTTAGGAGAAAAGGTGCTGGGACACCAGGGAATATTCACACACACACCAGCTGCCTTCTCTTTCTGGCCTTTCCTTGCAGTTGCGTTATGAAGGAGACTGATTTAGAGTGCAAGATGAGAGTAACCTAACAGTGACACTTGGGCCACAGGTCATTTTAATAAGTGGAAGAAGTCTTTCTGCTGACCTCAGGCATCTCTGGATCAAGTATTTGAGACTAGTCTGTGCAGACAGTTTGTGACAGGGCTCAGGGACCACGATAAGCCCTTTATTTGATGAGATGACTTTGTGTGATTATTGCACTCTGAAGCTATTTCTATATCCACTTTTTCTTTCATTATGCTTCTCTTCTGGAGACATTTTTATTGTAAACCAGAAGAGAAAGAAGAAGAGTAAATAGGTTTCTTGATCCATGAAAAATATTCATACAGGGGTAAAAAACCTGCAGAATATTGATGTGACAGGCAAAAATAAAAAAAAAATCTTTGCTTGCATAGCTCTTCATATGAAAGCTATAAAATATGGTAGAAAATATGAAGATTTTTCTATCATCTAAAAAGTGCTTTTGGTTATCCTGTGGAAATAGAAGGAATGGGATGACAAGGCTGTGGGTAACAGGATCTCTCTAGTACGCTCATCCATGGACTTCAAAGGCAGTAGCTACACTGGAGAAGAAATTCAGACCTACCACACCTCAAGAGACAGTGCAGAAGATAAAGCTAAGTGGCTAAACCAGTGGCAGAGGCATGGAAAGTGCTCAGCCACATCCCTGGGGAAGGTTTTAATGACCTTCTTTAAGTGGCATTTTTGTATTGACAGTTTTTGTCCTACAGATATTCAGGAATGAGCCTGAAAATTTTTATTTGTAAATTAGCTTATAGGAAGTACTTCAAGTCTGAGTTGCTGGACTTCAGACTGAACAACAACATGGCTTTGTTGTCTCTGAGACTAACACAAACAGCCTGGGAAAAGTGTTACAATTATTGCTGAGCATTACATGTGACCTCTCTGTTCTTAAAAGGCAACGATAAAATAGTATTTCTAAGATGTAAATAGAGGTCATATAATCGAGTGGGGACTGGAGTATGTATTTTATCCTGAAAATTAAGATTAAAATCTTGTCCCAGCCAATAATTCCAATTATTGGAATTTCAGCTATTAATTTCTGAAGGTCTGGGATTTATCCTATTTATCTTCATTTTGGACATTTTGGGCTTTCAGGAAAGCCCATAGCTCTGATAAAGAATAAAGTAGAAACCATTCCCTTGCACTTTCTTTCTCAGTCCTTTTCAATGAGCTACTGCTATCATACCCCTTTGATTAGACATACAAATGGGGTCTGTGTGCAAGCATGGAAGAAATTGCCAGACTTGAATCTGAAATAAAGTAAGGTTTATGCATCCATTTTATAGCCGCAATAAATAATAGGCAGAATTGCTAAAGAAATCTATAAAACATGCTATTATATTCTTTCTAAAAATAGTGACTGCTCAGTTTCCATTACAGACCTCATCTTCAGAAGACATTTAACATGCTCACAATAATTAGACCAGCCCTGCCGAGTGGCTTCATCCTCTTCCTCTGATTCCAAAACAATGTGATGGGGAGGAGTAGTTTAACCCTGTCACCAGGGTGTGGGTAGTGGTATTTGACTGGACTAATCAAACCTGACAGACAATTTTTAACACAATTATTCACTTCAAAAAATCATTTGTTGTGAGAAATGAAGTTGGGAGCCTAATATCCCAATACACTGGGATTTATAAAAAGAGAAGTTAAAAAAAAAAAAAAAAAAAAGGCACAACAACCAAAACTCCTACTGTTTTCAGTCACTGGTCATTTACATACATATAAGCCAGCTCTCTTCCAGTAGTAATTGTTGTATTGATCAATCATGCACTTTGTTTTCTCTTTAAATTTTTCTTCAGAGTTAGTTGTCCACCAAGGGTCTAAGTTTCCATTTTTGTCATATTTCCGACCTCAAAAAGGAAAGAAAGAAAACAAATGTTTTTGCAGGAGAAAACTTTTCCAGTTTGGGAATTTATCACCTGCAGAGAAATGAGAGGTGAATGTCCTCATGCAAATGTGTGTACAAAACAGATAGGATCAGTGAGCAAAATCTTGACCCCACTCAAGAGTAGTGAAAAGCTGGCATTCTATTTATTGCCATCATTTCCATTTGCAGAAAAAGATAGATAGAAAAGATAGAAAAAGACTAATGAGTTCTATAGTACATTTTATAATTACACAGTGTAAGAGGCATTTGAGCTTTCTTGTAAGTATAATTGTGAATATTTCTCATCCTCAGCCCATATGTCTTTAATTCTGCAAATGTGATGATAACCAATTTATTATTAACTAATTCTACACTTGATCAAAAAACCAACCTATTTCATGAAAACTTCTAAAGTTTTCATTTTTTATTTTGGAGCAAACCCAGGACATTTGAACACTATTCATGGAAACAAGGAGAATACATACATCCCATTCCCCAGGCTGATGGTTACAGTACTGGCTCCTGGAAGTTTCAGTATCAGATCCCTGCTCCCTTCATTTGCAGAAGAGTATCTAATCTACATCATGGCTCCAGCCAGTCAGACACAAGATGTGTTTGGACTCCTTTGAAAGCAGGTTTAGCTGCGCACATGGACGAAGACAGGTAAGTAGCAACCGATAGACATGATATCAAGTACTTAAAATGTTTTCTTCCATCTTTTTATTTCTTTTCTTTTTCCCTGTGCACTTTCTTGTTCAAGATGACAAATTCCCTAGAGATGTATTTATTTCTATATTCAGAATATTTTGCCATATTTATGGCAAAAAGTTGAGGTCTGCTTAGGGAATCAAATCTTAGCCTCCTTTCTGATTGGCAGGAGACAAAATGGAGATTAGATACTTACCTACTCAGGAGCTGGGAGTTTATGAAGAGAAATATTTTCATTCTAGAGTGTTTGCTGACACAAAATGTTGTAGAGCAGTGCCAAAAGGATACTAGGATATAAGGTTTTCTTTTTTTGTTTGTTTGCTTTGGTGTTATTTGTTTGGGTTTTGCTTGGTTTTGTTGGTTTTGTTTGTTTTTTTTAAGGTGTTCAGTGTAACACAACATAAGCCAACTCAAAATTTCTTGCTGGAGAAGGTTCATATTTCTTTCCTCTGCCCCACTACTCCCTACCCTCCCCACCGTCTTTCTCTCAGGAGCCTAATTTTTAAAAGTACTTTACTTTGATGAGATAGCCTAAGCTAGACAGTGGTAATGCCCCACTCCATCCAGTTTGTCAGGACAACTGGATTGACATTTTCAGACCATTCTTCTTTTTCCCCCCATCTCCTCTTCTTTTTTTTTTTTTTGTACCACTCTTGTTCCAGTATTTTATTTTAAAAGTTTCATAGTTGTCTTCTGAAAAATGTCAAAGCTGAAATAAAAAGTTTTCTTGGACGTAATTTTTATGAATCAGAAGCTACCCCTTTGCCCTTCCCACTTCCCCCAGTCAGGACTTTCTGGATCTTTTACTGATTTAGTTTCCATTCAAGAAAGAATCAAACTTGTTGCATTTCTTACCAAACAAATCCAGTTCAGACAAGCAATACTCTATGTAAATAAATCTAACAAATACAACTTCATAATTGCTTCACACAACTCAGCACTGTTAAAAAAACCCAAAGAATAAAAAAAAGTAAAGCATATAGAAGTCAGCTATCTAATCTGTCAGCTCTGTAAAAAAAAGTTATCAACACTCACCATTGCTATCAAATCCGTGAGTAAACTCATGGCCAACAATTACCCCTATGGCACCATAACTTAATGACCTGTAACGCAAAGAAAACATTTTCTCAGAAAGTGTCCACATTCATGAACATTAAAGACAAAAGGCCTCAGGAAAGATCATTATTTATTTAAAAGGTGTAGGAAAGGAAAATCACACCTGCACAATTTTTACTTAAAGTTGTTGCAAGTCTTTATGTTAAACTCTTCTTGTTTAAAAGCATCATTTAATAGAAAATTCTGAAAGCATTGTGAGGTTTCACTCTTCTAATCAAATCCCTTATTAGCATCGTATGAGCTCCAAAATATCTCCTTCAGCTGACTGCATTGTGCATATTCTAACTGAGAACAGGATAAAATTACAGGTGTAACTATTCTGTCAGTACCACCATCAAAAAGAGGAGATAAAAGCTGCAGTGGGTTTCCATATTGGCAGCTCAAAACCTTCTTCCCTGGCATGCAACTGATGCCTTAGAGTTTTGATTTTTTTTTTAATTTTGTAGATTTTAGAAGTAGTTATACAGTGAATGTAGATTTTAAAGTAGCAGCATATTACCCCTTACCCTTTAATACAGCAATTACACATAGCAAACCCTGTTACCCATTCCCATATCAATTCCCCTAAATTAATAATAAGTAATGGCCAGTCTTCGCGAGCGAAGATCTGGGGAAGGTCTTTCCACCTTCCAGCCTGCGCATTGGATTTTTTAGGTGAGACACAGTGTGCGCGGAACTGAGCCCACCCTTTAATCCTAAGGTTCAACTGCTGGGGCCAAGCGAGCTTGGATGGTGGCAGCAAGGTCCTCAGGACGTAGATGGATTTCCTTTACCTGGCTAACGAGCTCCATCTGCCCAGGGCGTGTCCCTGACCAGGAATCGAACCCGGGCCTCAGCGGTGACAGCGCCGCGCCCTTACCACTAGACCACCAGGGGCTCCCTAAATTACATTAGCCTGTTTAGTCTCATTTTCAAGGCAGAATTGTAGAAAACACCCTAAAATCTGTGCAAGAAGATGTAGCCATAGGCACAACAACCTTTGGACCCAGAGCTCTGGAAGGCCTCCAAGAACAGCACGTGCTCTGACGAAGATGAAGATGAGGAAGAGGGAGTCCCAAAACTCCCCCCGACTCAATTCCCAAAAGGCATGTCAGGGGCAGAACCTGGGCAGTGGCCGGACAGGGACTGGGTGAAAATCATTATAAAAACTGTAAACACCTGTATTTGGGAGTACCCGGTGGTGGTGTTCCTGGAAGCCTGGGGGCTCATTAAAGCCTTTTGTATGCTTATCTTACCTCCTACCTAATTTGGCCTGAAGTTTTTTTTTCCTCCACAGCCTTTTAGGCAACACAACAAAGGCTATACTCTGTAGAGCACTAAACAGGTCTCCACTCAGTTTTAAAAATAAAGGTCATATAATTTCCTTGCACCTGTCCTGGAAGAGGGCATGATACACAGTCAGATCTAATGTACTGAAGAAACAGAATAGAAAGAAATATTTTGTATTCCTGATTGGCAATTAATTATGTTTACCTTGTTATATCCAAATAAAAATGTGTCAGAAAGAAATAGGGATGAGAAAGGGAAAGGTTCAGGCTTTTTAACACCAAATGCAGTGGATATCATGTGGGTAGGTGATCTATTAAATCATCTTTCATTTGTTAAGTTGTTTTTTATGGTTTTAATTATTTCAGTTATTGAGATGCTATACTTCAGAGTGGCTTATAGTATTTCTAATGCATTGTACTGAAATAGAAGAAAGGCAGAGGGTTTTGAAATAACATGTTATTACTGGACCTAATGATCCATAGTACACTAATTACTCATCTCAGACATGCCTAAAAAGTATTATATCATTTAATTCCCTCTGCTTCCATGACAGTCTTTCACTCTAGTTTTTTTCTTTCGTGAAAGGTACTTTCAAGCATGTGATAAAATCTTCACTACTGTTTTTCCCCCCAAGTGCTATTACAAACCTTCTCTAAAAAATGCTGGTTAAAATTATATGTTTCAGCAATGGAAATATCTTCCTTTTGTGCGACAAATTTGTTATCTTGTGTAGCACACAGTGATAATTACCCATAATAAATGCACTATGTTAGACTTGTTTTCCACATCTGAAGTGAAGTGGTTATATGGGATATTTTGCAGCTGGAGAAGTATAAATATAATGGCACAAAACACATAATGAGATCAAGAACCAAGCCCTATTACTAAATACATCTTGTTCTTCCTCTAAAGTTCTTGGTCTCCGCGAGTGGCAGGGACAAAGAACAGGCTGCTGTTCTGGCACTCCTACATCTTTCCATACCTCCAAAAGATGGGATGAAGTTTGGGGTGAATTTTGACCTTTGCTTCAGCATTTTGTCCATCTCAACAACACGTTTTGCCAGAAATCTTCCCAGCACTGTTCATGCTTTTCACTTCTGGGCACAGTTGGATAGAGATGGAGGGAATTAGGTGCAGCCCAGCAGACATCACGTTAAAGGAGAACTTTCTGGGACTGGGGAGGCTCAGAGAACTGTAAGGAAGCTACCAGGTCGGGTAGTTTGTACTCTCTATTTCAATATATCTGGCAGTGAAGGCTCATAACTATGAATGATGGCATTTGAATGGTATGTTATTTCATGTACTGAGATGTCAAAGTGATAACTAATGTTCCCTTTATGCAAATAGATGTAACTGGTTTTTGGTGGTTATGCTGGAACTGGACAATAAAATGCCACTAAATGTTAAATATTTGCTAAATCAGTTTTCCAGCAAGCGCTGATGACTTTTTGATGGTTTTTCTGTTCCACTGCCATGTACTCTTTCCTCTAAGCAGACAGAAAACATCCAGAATATTTCAAGGACAAAAGCAATCTGTTGTCTGATATAAACCAGCTACATTTGTTTACTAAATTCCATTTTGATATGTACTCAAGCAAAACCAATTTAAGCTAAGGTAACCTTTAAAGATGAGAAATGAGCAAAGTATAATACTTTGAAAGAACCACAATTTTATCACTATGGCAGAAGGTCAGAATACAGAGAAATCTCTTCAGAAAGCAAAGCTGGAAACAGGCCTGCAATCACCATAACAGAAAAAGTGTTCAACTTAACAAGAAAGGACTTTTTTCTATCCCCAATTACCACTTAGAAAGTCACCAGGCTCATAAGAATTCTCTTTGAATGCAAATTATTTTGTTCCTAAATTGAACATGTCTTTCTACATATATTACTAAATTTTCTGTTTACAAGGACATAATCCAGATTGCAAGATGGCAAACTGAAAATCTTCAAAGTTTGATTTTTTTTTTTAGCAAAGATTTATTAAGGGTATGTTTCACCAGTAAATGCCTTTATATAACTCCAGAAAAACTTTCAGAAACTGCCAACAGAAACTTTTCATGGTCTTACCCTGCCCTAAAATAGAAAGTTATTGATGCCCAAAAGCAGTGATTTTTCAAAATTAAATGTGTGTGACCTATAATTACTCTTGCTCAGCTACAGTAGCACATGGGCCAGCTCAGGCAATCACTTATGCACATGGAGATATTCTCATGCATCTCAACAGGCACAAACGAAGGCTAAGTGTTAATTTTAGATATTAGCAGAAAGTGAACAATAAACTGATAATAATCGGCTTCTCAGAGTATTCACTTCTGCTCAGGAAGTGTTAGTTACCTGATTTGCAATTCCTTTTAATACCTGCCATGTGCACACTGCTGCATCTTCATGCTTCAGCATTGAAACACTTTCAATTGGGTGCACTTAATTAACAATTCCTGTGAGAAATCAGTCATCAGTTTAAGACAACTGACTGCAACACTTACCCAAGGGTAAAAAAAGTTATCACACAAAGTAGCACTTCTCAAAGTCAGTTCTTTCAATTATAAAAGCAGGACACAGCAGGAGAGAACATACAACTCAAGGGCCAAATGTGCCCTACAGCAAGAGTAGCCTTCTTCTCCATGCCCCCTTCTTTATCTATATGTATCTGCAATACTCTTCCCTGTTATTCCTCATTCTCAGGTGTATGAGGGTCACTGGTGCAGAACTTACCTGGGATATTCTGTTCCCCAAAAGAAAGGTTTTTGTAGTTCTCCTGCTGGGAACCCTGCAATAGCAAAAAAAAAATAATATATATATAGAGGAGGTAAATTCAGTACAGCTGAATAACTGTCACAATGCCCAGCAAATGACCTCATTTGTTTAGTTTCAGAAGGTGAATCTTTGAGAGGCAGCAGAGATCCTCCTTCCTCCAGGACTGCAACGGCAATAAGATTCTGCACTGCAAGAACTTTATTTTAATTCATAGCTACACACATTGTCTATGTAAGTAAGAATATGTTCCTATGAAAAAAACACCTAGTATTTCCTGTGAAGAATACTGGATTACCCTCATATATGTAGACAGATCAACAAACAATATAAAGGTAAAATGCAACAAGAATTCAAATAGTGTTAGCTTAGTGAGGCTTCAGTGGAGCAACAACATGAAAGTGATAAAATGCCAGCCTAATTTTATTTAGTCTTTGAAAATCAAAGGTAAATGAACATAGTTAGGCACTTTGGTAAACTAGAGTGTAGATTATTAAGGCTGTAGGGTCAGTCTAGCTGCAGGAATTACCTGGCTGCTTCTGATAGACTAACTGATTCCATAGGAATCAAAATTGTTCCCCAAATTCAAAGCCACACATCTATTTTTAATTCCAGGGTAACATTTCAGTGCCAGGGTACTGAAGACAGTGGAGCTGCACATGGTAAAACTTTAAGACCCCAAAGAACTGCTAAATAAAGCAGACACCTATGTTCAAAGCTTTTATAACATGGTGAAAAGTGCCACCCTCCCTATCACAAATGTGGAGTTTACTATCTTGGATCACAAACTCCCATCTGTTAAGCACAAGCATACACTTACTTTGAAGATTACCCCAGATAGGCATCACCTTGTTGAGGAAGAACCAGTTTCCTCAGGTGATTCATTTGTTTTCGCAGGAACTGCTTGTTCAGCCTATGGGTCTCTCTTCAATAAGTCACTTGAAGAGTCAGGTCAAAACAAAACCCATATTCACTCTATTCTCACCCTATTCAGTCTTTTGTTGATAGGTAGGTCATGGATTTCTTAATATCTCTGATAAAGTGTCAGGCAAGATCTTTGTCTTTTCCTTACAAAGTCTTTGAAAAAAATACTTTCAAATAAAAAAAAAATTAAAAACAAAACAAATAAAACAGTATGCTGAGTGTAATTCATGTCAAATTATGTGGCAAGTGACATGTACTCCTGGCCTGTCTGTCTGCTTTTTTCTATTGCTCCTCTGTGGCTTCCATGATTACCTATTTAGCAATTAGCTTACAAAAAGCGTGTGTTTCAAACTTATTTTCTGAGTGTTTTTGCTTTTTTTTTCTTTTACTTCTCCAGACGTTACGTTGTTGTTTCAAGCATGTAATCATTTGCTTTTCCAGTGCCATAAACCACAGTTTTACCAATATCAAGTACAAAGTTTTCCTGATCTAACTCTCCTTGCCTCCCGGTGCACAGAGAAGAGTATTTATTATGCATGTTTTTAAACATCACACAGCAATGGTACATCCATTCAACCTGATGCAAATTGCTTGTTCATGCACTGAGTTAAGAGCTGGTGTTAAGAGCTGGAAATCTAATCTGAACTGGTTCCTTCCAAACACTGAACCTCAGAAAAGGTTTTGGAATGATTGGGGTTCTGCTAACTCTGAATGATTCAAATGGTCCTCTCCTGCAACTGCAGATGGGAGGAATCGTGGCCAAAATTAACAAATGAGCCCACACTGAAGATGGTATGAACCAAGGCAGCACAATCACTCCACAAATCTCTTTAATGATCACACAGTCCTGTGTGCCTGTCACCACACCAAGAGGCTATCCAGATCTTTTAAGGAGCTGCAATTATTTTGTCCAGGTATAGAACTGAATATTGAATTTGCACTTGTCTCCAGTAGGGGTAATATACATTATTTACAGAAGGTGTAAACCTTCACTCAGGCTCATCCAGCTACGAAATATGATCAGCTATGAGTTAAGCCACAAGATAAAGTTTTCACTGAATAAGTCATGTAAATGAATGGTAAGAAGCTCCAACGCTGAATCCACATAACAGATTGATAATTATTTTACTCGGAGTGAGGATCCATTTTAGGTAAGACATTGCTGAGCAAAGTGCTGGTTGAGGGAGTGGCTCCTGCTTCTGGGTATCTGTGTGAAACAGCTCTGCAGTTTGATTGCACTAAAAGAAGCTTAGGAAGTATTTTCAGGCCAAAGCAGAGTGAGAAGCCAGTATAATTTAATATACATCTCAGAAAAGCTCAGAAAACTGGAATATATTACCCCCCAAGCGGTTGTTTGGGTTTTTTTAAGAAAAATAATTATCTAGTTTTGAAAGTGATTCTTTGGCAGCTGTTGTAGGAAAGGCGTCCTGTTCTCCAGAGGTTAGTAGCACTAAATGAGGGACAGTCTTGTCCACCATTGCAAAACTAGAAACAACAAATTTGGAATCGGCAACACATGGCATCCCTTTTTACCCAATGTCTCCCTCAGGCAAGCATCAACTACATCATCCTTGGAGGGAGCAAGGATAACAATGTCCTAGACCCAGAAAGTCCTTGAAATTGTAAGAGGAGATAGATCAGCTGACAGTTTCTTATTTTGTGCTGGTTTCAATTCCTCAATTTAAGCAATTCCCTTGTGAAGTCTGTTTCTTTTTTGCTCGGCATATTGCACCTAAAAGAATTAATGCCAAAATTCAGAGAGCTCATAGTAGGCTGCAGTTGCAATAAATACTAATGGGATTATTTATATGCCACTGAAGTTCAAGCAAGCTAAGGACTGATCTGAAGGTGTAAGACAGACAGACCAGAGCATTTCACATCTTAAGGAATAGATACAGGCACTGGGAATGTACTTTGAGCTAACACTCCACCATAAATTTAGCCTGTAGTGTACCTTTCTCCCTCTACACAGCCCCTCTCTCTTTGTGCACTATATTGCTAGTGCAGGATCAGAGCCTACACTAAAGGTCATTACTGACCAACAGTGTTGTTTTATTACAGACCCCACACAAATCTATCTGTTATAATTAGCTCCTGGACTTGCAGAATCTGCCTTGACTACCTTCTTACAACCTACCTACATCTGGAGCAATGCCACTGGACATCATTCTGAGAGAGACACTGGTGTCACATGCCACAAGAGCACTGGATCTGTGGACAGCTGAGTTCAGGCTGTCACAGAACAGCACTGGTGCCTTATATCCATGCATGTTACCAGTGGGAAGGTGGTACAGCCAGGCTAGATGGACTTCGTGCCACTGATCGCAACACTTCGGAGCCCAGATGTTCTGATCACAGCCCTTTAAGCCTAGCAGTTCAAGCAGTTTTCAGTCCACCTGAATATCCACTTAAGTAGCCTACTCTTCAGCAGCTTGCATTTGAGAATGTTAGGGGAGACAATGCTGACATTCCTGCTAAAGAATGAATCACATTCACATCTCTTTCCATATCCACTGAGCTCGTTGTAGAAAGCTGGTCAAGGAAACTGCTTCTGGGATTTACTTTATCATGTACACAGGGACTGATGTGAGGCTTACTCACTTATAATTCCCTGGATCTTCCTTCTTGAAGATAGAAGTGACATTTGCTTTCTTCCAGTTCTCAGGAACCTTTCCTACTCACCATAACCTTTCAAAGATTACCAAGAGTGGTGACAACAACATCAGTCAGCTCATAGGTGCACCTTGTCAGAGACCATGGGCTTGCATATGCCCACTCTGTTTAAACATTCCCTAACCTGCTCCTCCTCCACTGAGGGTAAATCTTCTTTGTTACCAGGTTCTCTGCCCTCATTCAGCACTGGGACTGCATCTTCCCTAGACTTTCTGCTGCTGCAGCTACACTTTTGGAAACGTTTCTTCTTGTCCTTCACATCCCTCGCCAGATTCATCTCCAGGGAGGTTTGGCTTTCCAAACCCCTGTGCCTGCACACTTGGACAGTGACTCTTTATTGAACTTTCCTCTTATTCACCTTACTGCTCTGGAATGCAGGGACACTTCAAGCAGTGGAGTACGTTTGGCTTACTGCAAATATTTCACTCTGAGTTTATGCTGATCTTGAAGCTCTGACAGTGCCCTACCTGCACAGAATAGCTTAATTGTATCCATTATATCATTTTCAGCATCTCCCCACAGCAAGGTGCTATAAAGCTTGTTAGAATGTATTTAAAACTTGAAGCTTTTTTTTTCCAATTTTACCGGGGCTTTACTGCCATTAATGAATATAATGAATACCTTCATGGTATTATTATACACATTTTGCAGATGAATCACCTTAAACTCAGTGTAATATTATTAGTTCACATGCAATCACATTTGATCGACAGTTCACTGAAACAATGCAGACTAATAACGGATGACGTAAACTAAAAACACATGAGACGACTCACCATATCATGAGGAAATTTGGAGTTCAAATGAAAATATGAATTCCAAAGTTCTAGTTCAGTTACATTATGCAGTTATATTGCATGCTGTTTTTAACTGAGCAAGGCAAGATCTAGTAAAGCCTTATTTCAAGTTAGTGCCTTTACAATTTCCAATAATTAGATTGGTTTGTTTAAAGCAACTTCTGACAGTTTAGTGAATCCCATATGTAAGTAACAGATAGGGGAGACAGCTGTGCTAAACTGTGTGATATACAGGGTACTCTGCCAATTGTTGTACTGGTAATTCTCAGATGTGTTTAAAAGCTGTAATTTGTTTTTTCAAGTATCACTGAAAGAAATGTAGAGTTTTAAAGGGATAATATATAAGCAGAAGACTAACTGCTAGCCAGCAATCAAAGGATATTGAATTCACATATGGAATTAGAGGTGAAGACAGCTAGGAAGGTGGTTAGTTATCTAAAGACAGCACAAAGGGCAGGATACAATTGCTTAAAATGGTTCCACAGACTTGTATTTGGACAACTGAATCTCATCCCAGTGATGGCTTTGCATATCCTGTTTAGCTGTCAGTCTTGATGGCAAGGGTCTCCTGCAAGTCCTCTCTCAGATGCAACACACATGAGAAAACACATCAGACACTATTGAGCACCACAGGCAGCTTTGAGCATCTATGTGTAGGTGACAGGGATCAAACTCTGTCATAACATGGAACAGAATCCTACACTTAATTTCAAGTTTTATCCAGTGGGCAAAGAGAATAGAACACAAAATTGCGTAGGGATAGAAAATACCCATTGTGTAAGGCACAGTAACTGTTCCATACTATGTGTGAATACAAAGCTTAACTTTATGAAGAGTAGT